TGCTGTAACGTGTGAACCAGGTCACTAGGGGCTCATTAAGTCTCCAGGTTTTGATGCTTGCAGTGAGGTTATCAACTACTTAGTGGATTAGTAACAAGTTAATAAAGACCTGTATGAATAATGGCTGTGTTCACAAAAAACTCAGTTTACATTAAGCATGTTGTGTTGCTTCAGCCATAAACAGCCTTTCAGAAAAGAAAATGAACCACAGTGTGTTTTTCTTATCGCTGGTTTGCTTCACTCTCACCCAGTTTGCTAACTTTCAGAGCAGTTTAGTTTTCAAGCTGTTTTTGAAGAGTGCCTTGTTTCACAGCACACAAACAAGCCAGGTATAAGGAGTGGTTCTGGGTTTAGGGAGCTCACAGCAACCTATAGTTTAAGCAAGCCAGATTTTGCAAACCAAGAACAAACCATGATTGCTATTTGAGTTTTGTAGCTGGTTAACAAACTATGGTACATTTACTGATTTAAAATATTTCTAAACTGTCTTTTGTGGCATGAACCCACCCCAAGAGGGCTCAACAACAATATTCATACAGTAAAAGATAATATGGCAAAAAGAAAACACTAGCATTACTACAAAAAAGTTTACAACACAATTTCAACTACAAGCCAGAATGGTCCATGAGAATACCAAAGTAAACAAGAAAGCCTTCAGGACTGACCCCTGATGGCAAGGGGTTCTAGAGGTGTGAAGTCACCATGAAAAAAGTACCCATCTCATGTATTTGTCCACTTAATTTCCCAGAGAGGTGGCAAGTGAGAGGTCCAGAAGCACCCCTCCCCACATCTATTTCCTGGCATAAGTAATCAACCAGGATAATCAAAGCTGTCTCTGCTCAAAACCAGGTCTGGATCTCAATATCATCTAACACTGCTTGGAGTTGTGAGGCCACCCCATGCTCCAGTCCCTTGCCCAAAAACAGCATGTTTAACCCTGGTCAACACTTATCCAAAACCATGGAATCCGAATTTAGTTTATTCAACAAAGGCATCAACACAGCTTCCTTCAAAGTTGCATGACCCTCACTACCCAGAAAGCAAGTGTTAATCACCTTGGAGTTCCGAGTACCCAGTACACCTCTGGCAAATTTCACAAACTAGGATGGACAAGAATCTAAAAACTAGTATGCCTCAGTCCATCAAGGAATTCTCAGGTGGACAAGTTAAAAATATCCATAACATGATTATATGGTGCACTAGCTCTGCCTATCTCCAACTCTGTCAAATTAAACATATTCAATTTAGCATGGGTATGAGTGACTTGATCCGTGAAATACCCAGAAATCATTCATAGAAGGCTTTTGTGGATTCCAGCTGTTGTCTCCTAGAGTTTACACCCAAGCAGCCTTTAACCATCTAAGTATTCCTCTGGACAAAATGGAGCAGATATGATGAATGCAAAGAAGTAAGATTTCTTTGTCACCGCTATCACCACAGAATAAAATTGCACACACGTTTTCCCACTATTTGATTACATTCATTACAAGTCTGCTACCATTTGGTTGGCCCTAGGATTTGTAAATCTTTACAGTTACCAAATCTGGCCAGGTTTGGATGCTGCAGTTTACAACCAGCATGCACAGGGAGGGAAAAAGCAATGATGCAAATCTGCCCTAATTTTCAGCATAGTAATCTCATTATGTTCAACTCCTCAGAACACTAAGGGTCTGACTGTTCTACAAGTGGATGGAGGACATATGGGAATCAAACTGAAAACCAAGTTTCAATAAAGCACTCCATAGCTTAGCATTATGGGTGAATCCTTTCTCTAACTGTATTTCTGTGGCAATTGATTCAGGTACTGACATAATTTAGGGCTATAATTCAGAGAAATGTACAGTTAAAACGTTTGCTGACACCAGGATTTCCATCACCCCATAGCCTTGAACAGCTCTATAATGGACAAGCAAGAAGATGGTGTTCACACCATACTAAAGAGTCGTTTTAGGAGACCTATTTCAGACCTCTAGGTCTGTGCATACTATTTACTTGTCCTGTGGTTAGAAAAGGAAAAAGGCTCCATTTAGGCACAGGCAATCTGGTTATACAAGTCTGTACCGGGGTGTGCCCACATAACCCTCAACCATCCCCAAATAAACCTGCAAACATGGTCCAAGTAATAAATCCTGCAGTAACCCATTCATTCAATTAAGTCTGTATCAGAAATTTTTCTTGTCAGATCCCCAACCTTCCAGTTACTCTACTTCTTCCTCACACCATTCCACTAGAAAGGCAGAAGCTAGTTTGTTGCTTGCTCAATTCCCTTTCTTTAGGTAAAACTAGTTGTACTTTAGAGTATACTTATAGAAGCATGCATTTGGCCATAGAAAATATGGAGGACCAAGCAAGCAGATGGGACAAATTTTCTGACCTGTGTAAGATAACCAGTCCCTGCCACTAACTTCCTGCTCTTTGGTCCCTTTCTTGGCTAACTCTTTGCTACCATTTCAGCATGCTTATTTCTACAGTAAAACTGACACAACTGCCAACACTTTGCAAGGGAAAGGGGAAAAAGAACTTAAGAGTTGGCACAAAATTAAGCACACACATTAGAAACAAACCCTCTTAGAGATGCGAATGCCAAGATAGATCAGTTGCATTGCCCTGGCTATAGCCCAACAGTTATCTTGGGACTTAGGCATTACTTAGGCATTAGTTCAAATAGCACCTAATTGAATTTGTTTTTCAAATTTGTTTGAAAATTTTGTCTCCCTTTTTGGACAGATGCTCTTTCATGAACCAGCTGGTCAAGAAAGAATGAGCACCTGACCAGGGTACTGGTCACTGGAGGAACCGTGTCTGATACTTCTGTATCAGATTACATTATACTATTTATTTAAAACATTTATATGCTATCCTACTCACAAAAAAGCCTCAGGACGGCTTACAATACAAAATACAACATAAATAACATAAATAAAATTCCCGACCCACACTGGCAGCAATTATAAACATAGAAAAGACAATATTAAAACTTATTAAAACACCGCTGGAATAAAAAGGTCTTAACCTTGCGCCAAAAAACAAATGATGGCGCCAGGCGGACCTCTCTGGGGAGCGCATTCCATAGATTGGGCGCCACCGCAGAGAAAGCCCTCCTTCCGGGTACTTTGCCTCCTAATCTCTTTCACAGAGGGTTCCCGGAGGAGAGCCTCTGCTGCCGTTCTCAAGGGGCGGGAGGGCAAATATGGAAGAAAGTGTTCCTTCAGGTATCCAGGTCCCAAGCTGTTAAGGGCTTTATAGGTATATATACTAGACTTCTGGGAATGAAGAGTCTTTGGATACCAGACATTTGAAGAATGAAAACAGTTTCAAATGGTGCAGAAATACAAGGACGTGCAAGGGAAAAGGCTCACCCTACAAAGTTTTTTAAAGGAAAATAGAATGCATTCTTAATATGAAACAACTACACTCAATTTATTAAAATGAATGCAAGGTCTAAGAATGTCCTCTTGAGGAAAACATTGCTCAAAAGGAAAGGACAAAAAGATGTATGTTGGCAGTTAACTGTCACTCCTGTTGAAGGGGGGGGGGAGAGAAATATGCTGAGGTGACGCCCCGAGGGACAGAATCCCTAAACTAATTGTCAGTGGAAAGGTACTCTAAAGAGTTCATTAGGTTGTGCATTGATCCACAGCAGATCTGCAAAGAACAGAAAGTCCAGTTTCAGAAGGCAGGAATAAGGGGCAGAACACACCCACCAAGGAGAGGCAGCAACTACTGCTAGGTGAGAAGAGCAGGGAGGCCTGAAATGGAATAGCTACTTAAAGTCATGCCATTTTTACAGATACTATTCACAAGTTCATCACAAAGATTTGCCAACTCCTTTAAATTAGCTCAAGTCTGACCAGACTCCGAGACTTCGCAGTGCTTTTGTTTGAAAAACAGATAGATAGATCGATTGCTCAATCAATCAATAAGCTTCCTTCACTAGCTACTGAATGAGTTCGTGGAGCTTTAGCAAACGGTTAACTGCTCAAAAGTATTCCACCAACATCATCTCCCTGCCACTTTGTCTACACACACATATATTTCATATACATTGGGAACACTGTCCACATGGCTTACAATTATGGGAGTAATTGGAGAGCACCAGGTTGGAGAAGGCAGCTCTAGCTCAAAGTTAAGCCACAGCTATGGATTTCCATTGGTGTTTTTATAAAAAAGAAAAATGCACCCAAACAAAGCCTCATCAGTTTCACTGACTAGCTCTGCAAGATACACACACAGATGTTCTGGTACTAAGCTGGTTCACCTTCTGTTGTTGGAAGCCCACATCACACGGGGGCAGATATTGGCACTCCCTGGACAGCCTTGTAAAACCAGGCTTCCTGTTTTCACAGCAGAGGAAAAGGTATCTGCAACTCATATGCTTTTGATAAAGTTCTGTTTAGCACTACAAAACATATATAGATGGTTCACATGCTGCCGTAGGGACTTGCCCTTAGGCAGGAGCACAACCAAGAATTTTAAACTTGTATGACATGGTTCAGCTTGGTGCTGAAAAACAAGCTGCGAAAGGGAAAGGCTTTCCAGCTGAAATCACAACTCTCTAGTCTCTTATTCTCACCTTTGGGATGACTGCAGTGTCACAACATCAGCTTTCTGGAAAATCACATTCTTCCTCGCACGACTCTGGGTCTCTAGTGGTGCTGCTTGGTGGAAGCAATACAACAGCACAGAGCAGCCTGCCTTAACCTGGTGCCCTCCGGATATGTTAAACTGCAACTCCCATGATTCCCAGCCAGCATGGCCACTGGCCAACACAGTTAGAAGGTTCCAAGGTGGGGAAAAGTGGCCTAGACTGCAGATATTTATTCTGTGCTGCTTTTTGGTTTGAGATGACCAGATGGCACTTATCTGTTTCTACTCCTCTAATCCTCAGTGTAAAACTAGCTTCAGCTTGGCAAGTTGGAAATGCTGCTCTTTCAAGTTGGAAATGCTAATCAAGCTTTTATTTTAAACATGGAAGTAACACAGTTCACAGGGCTACTCACCAGACAGAGGATCTTTGCCAACTATCAAGACATTTGGTAAACTCATTATGATAAGTTGTTGGAGGACCTCCTAGAAAAAGAGAGAGAGAGAGAGAGAGAATTATGAAATCAAATGCCAATTTAAGACAACACTGCATCATTAGTTATTACATTTCACTTGCCTAGATAAACAAACCAAGAGAGAAGAGTTTTACCCCTCATTCAGTTGTACAAAGACAATACATGAATAGTTAAGTTGTTCATGGTGATAGCATCAAAATTCAAAAACAAGATGTATCATGGATTCTTAGAGGACACCTGCACATTGCTACTTTGGGAAAATGAATTTCCACAATCTGCCTATAAAATGAATGAAATTAGCAGAGAGAGAAGGAAGGCAAATACTTTCTGTAAGGACACCTGTGAGCATGCAATGGCATACTAAATGTGGAAGAACCAGAAAAGTTGAACTAGATTGGCTTCCGTTTCCTTATAAAGATCCAGTGCAAAATATTTTCCTTTATAGTCTCTTTGCAGTTTAATTCTGCATCTTCCCCCTGCCCCACATCTCTCCATTCATTGACCCAGATCACACATAATGAGACACCACTGTGGGTAAATTTCCCTGTGGGGTTCTTGTAGTAGCAGCCACCACCATTTTGAATACTAGAGTGCAGCACTACACCATAGCTTCTTGATGCAGGCAAAGCCAACGCATGTAGGTTCCTGGTTTTGGCTGGCTTGTCAACCACTCCAACAACCTGCCCACACCAGACTTGCACAGAACAAGATGTCAGGGCTTGGAATGCCAACCTGAGGTCTACAGATGGTGCAACCCAATCTGCTAATAAGCCACGAGGGGCTGTAGTGATGAATCAGGTCAATGTGTCTGTCTCTGCCTAATGTCAAAACCATCTGCATGTGACCAATGCTGACCTCGTACAGTAATGATCTCCTCCCTTCTGGCAGCCTGCGGGGCAGGAAGGAAGGGAGAGAGGAAAAAGGTGACCCACCCACTGCTGGCACACAGCTCTGTGAGGGAATATGGCTGTCAAAAAGTGCAATGAACTTGTCTTTTTAGACTGTAAGATTGCTAGCAGGAGTTGTTCTTGTTCACATGTTGATGGATTGGTTTGACTGGTACCCCGCCTAACTGCCAGAAGAGGCACTCAATGTGGTTTACAATTACCAATGAAACAATAAGCAAATATATTAAGCTTCAATTAAAACAGCAGCAGCAACAAAGAAATATTAGCTTTTCAGCTCACCTGACTTGCTTAGAACCCAAAGACTAACTTTAAGGGAGCTACGGCACAATACCGAGCTTTAGAAATCTTTATCATTGTTACTGAAAGTAAAACTCTCATAGCACTATTTGAATATGAAGCAACTACCTGAATATGCTAGTGAGTAAAGGATCTCACAGTGACTACCTGACTATGAATATCAAGTGCCCATCGAATACCATCTTCCTTCTGGTCTGGTTCCAATTCTCTAAAGTTCTCCATACAGGAAGGGATCTGCAGCTCCAACCTCATGTAGGAAGTAGCATATGCATTAGTGCAAACACGTGCAGATACTGTTTCCTGGCAGCAATTTTGGTGAGCTCAGCAATGTATTTTTCAGCTGCTCGGCTCGTGTGAATCTGTCCAGCTTTTAGAGCTTCTGAATAGGCCTAAGATTGAACACTTAGGTATGCAGGCTTTGCATTACAGATTTCCTGGTTATAAAATATTTTTTACAGCAGGTTAACTATATTACTATGGTTAGTATCTATTTAAGACATGAAAAGGAAACAATTCCAAGTGGAAAAGGAGGTAAGAGATGAGGTAAGCTAACAGAGAGTTCCCTCACGCACACACATGCGCGTGCACACACTTGTAATTATGCTCCCAAGGTCAATTTGGGTCAGAGGGTTAAAGAAGCAACAGGCTTGTTTTAAAGTCAGCCTCACCCTTGCCTAAGTACTGGGAAAATTGATGAAATGGCCTGAGGGCAGACTAGCAAGCAAAAGGTTAGAAGACCAGGCATACAAATGACACCCCAATTTTCATTTGACATACTCAATTCTACAAGATAAATATGCTCCTGTATAGTAAGGGTGGCATAAAAGAACAATTACAGAATGGTGGCTTTATTCTTCATACCCAATGGTTTTTTCTGGTAACAACTTATCTTACACAATATATCAGACCTTCATTTAACACTGACATTCAGTAGCACTACTAACAATTTTAGGAGAACATTACTAAGCAGTGGAAAGTTTTGAAATGAACTGGTAATCCTGAGGAAGAAACCAAGTGTTATACTGTTCTCATTCCTGACTGCAATTTCACTGCATTCACTGACTGCAAAATTATAAAATACTGATTTCATTTTATTTTACAAAAGTCTAGACTGGATTCATCAAACCAAATCCAAGGGACAGTATAAAATCAAGGTCTGGCCAAACAATATCATCTCCTCCTTCCAGCCCAAGCAGCATATGAGTAACTGCCACAATTACTTATGAATAGAATTATATATCATTTTGTCTCTTACTTAATCCTATCTTCTTTACTGAATCCTATCTTCTTTACTATACTGTAGTATACTTACAACAAGTAGAACAGCACACCAGCAGAGAGGTGGGCAATAACAATTATATGGGATTATTTGCTGAAGGGACTTGGTGGTCCCTGAGATAGTCCAGTAATACATTAAGTGAAGCCTCTTCGGAAATTACACCTTTCATTCAGGGGTAATCTGGAAACAGCACTGCCATAAGAAAGCATTTCAGTGTGTCCATTAAGATAGACTTTGGATTCAAAAGGCCTCTAATGCTTTTGATGTTTACTTGGAAGTAAATTGTTAATTCACAAACTTCATTGCAGGAAGTTTCCCTGAATACAGAGAATAAATTACATTTCTTCTTTTAAAAATGCATTGTTTCATTCTCTTCTGAAAGAAATTATAATCCACCCAGTATTCTTTTCATTTGAGGGACTTAAATCTCCACATACACAGATGAAATCAAGGCTGAATATTCCAATTCAGCCTCAGTCATTGGGTTTAGTATTATATGTGAATTGGGAACTCTGGGTGGTTGGGGAAAGACTGTTGGAACCCTAGTTTAAATGACTGGTCAGCAAATTTTATGGCTATTAGCAAATGCTACACTCTACTGCATCTATAAATAATTGTAAAGAAAATGTAATATTGAACATGAAGCAAGAAAAGCAAGCAGGAAAAAATCAGAATTAGAAAAATATAATCACGTTTAGATGTATAAAAAAATAAGATGACTAGGTAATTTAAAAGTGTGTTTGCAATACCGTTGGGACACTGCCAACTTAATTCCTTTCAGAAACCTATATAAATGAAGTACCGTATTAGTACCTGACAAATAACTCGGATTATTACAGGAAATTGTCCATTTTTATTGCTCAGATAAGTTGAACACCATCATAGTGAAAACATCTACAGCATATGAGAGCATTGGCAATTGACTACATGGTCTGGCCCATTCAGTTTCACTTCTATTCATTGCTCAGAAGTCCTCAATTACCTGCAAGAACAGGAAATCCTTTAGTTACAAACAATTAAGGCTGTTAACACAGATCAGAGGCCACATAAAAAGGAACTGCAGATTGTATTTCTCCCACATCCTGCACAGAACCACTGTGGTATGTAAGAAAGGGAGGGAGGGAGGGAGGGAGGGAAAGCTATGCAAATTGATTAAAGTTCCTTATGCCAATGTGGTATAACAACTGGTCTTACCTCCTGAAGGAAGTTTAGTTGGACATCATTAACACAAACTAATGGATTAAACCCATACAACTGAGAACAGCAATGCATGGTAACCTTCCTTACACCTTCCTTTAAAAATGAAGTTAAAAATGTGCAAGATTAACTATTAAAGTAGGTATTAACATCAATTCATAAACCATTTTTGAAGATTCTCATAAAAAACATCCACAGGAATGGACCACAAGTGACCAAAAGTGCAAGCATCCAATATTGAATTAATCTTTGGAGAAGTGGCCATGTTGGTCTGCTGTAGATAAAGGAACTTTAAAGACAAAGACATTCACAAGGGGAAGCTGGAGCACAATTTCGCAGTGTAAAGTGCTCTTTTCAGAGTTCCAACATGTCATGCCCTAGTCCAGGATATTCTGCAAAACTTGGGGTTCCCTCAAACCCAATGATGCTCCCCTCTTGTTTGAATGTGGTCCTGTTTTGGCTATGTGGAGAACCCAAGGCAGCACACATAGCTCTGTTTTGCCCTTGCAACAACAACCTGGTGAGGTAACTTATGTTGAGAATGATTGAGTGGCCCAAAGTCTCCCAGTGAGCTAGAACCCAGACCTCCTTGGCCCTGAGTCCAACACTAATCCCCACGTCTCACCAACTCCCAAATGTGAATATACTGCAATGAACCAATCTGTCCAGAAATTCTTTACCTGCCCTGAGGTACCTATACTAAGTAAAATAATTAAACAAAAATAGGACAGAATTAGACTACAGATTTAAAATTCAATAACAAATGTCACTGCATTCCTCAACCAACCACTACTGGACCCGGTCTTGTGACATAAGAGTCAAGAAGACATACCATTTGGCTATTTATTTCATTCACATATGGTGCTTTGATCCCACCCTTGCAGTTATTTTTTATTCAGAATCACACACTCCATTTTCTCAACCCACTCCATGTCTATCACCAAAAAAGGTCATCTAAAAGGTTTGTCCTCTTACTTCTATAAGTCAGAGACTGCTTATAGCATTCTAGAGGTCAGTTTAAGAACATTGGGCGAAACCACAAATATGTTTTACATGGGCATCTGTTGTAGATAAACTCCCAGTTCATTTTCAAGGCTATTTGTGTATCTAAAAGCAACTGGGATCTGCATAAAAAGATGAAAAGTAACAATGACTTAAACCCACAAACATGCACTTGTATTTCAGCTTTGGACTTTAATCACAATCCTCAAGATCCAAGTAGCCCCACCTTACTGCCTTAAAGCTACAGAACATATATGGTCTTATCCAGTATTACATTAGAGCCCATGTCTTGTGTTAATTTTGAGAATGTATCTTTTTAAACCACAA